ATGAAATGTAAACCTACTCTTACTGCACTTATCTTAAATTTCTAGGAATAGATGATCAATTGTGATCTGCATTAGGGCCATCTGGGTTGGTTGCCATCAGCCCCAGACCAAGATAGAACACCCCTCCACAGTCCTCACTGGTGAAGGGGTTGGTTTCATCGGGTTGTTGATATGGTGCCTATAGTTATTGTGTCTCCTGCTTGATGAACAATGCTTCTAAAGTTTCCTTGTCTTCTTGGGCACAACTTGAGACTTCTATAGTTTCTTATATGATACATTGCAACATGGCTACCTCAATTTGAACTCCTAGTTCATGTCTAGTAAGTTTTCGAGGCACCAAATCATGCATAAGTTTCAGGAACAAAATAGTGATAGCATCATATAATGGAACAAATTTTGAATCAAACGAAAACAATTTGGAGACCACTGACCATATCTAAGCTTTGTATTGGTGATCTGTTAAAGTCATCAGATGGTACAGAAAAATAAAAAAAATATATATTAGGAAATGCAAGAACTATTTAGGACTAAGTTGTACATAGTTTGTAAGCCGAACATTTAAACTTTCGGACTAGTTCTGTGTGATGACCATTCAATCACAACAGAATCGTTTGTTGTGGTATAAGTCAAAGACCATTATGTCTCTTCACAGTTCACGCTGATCCATCTGTGTCTTCTCAAAATGTAAACTGAGCTCAGTCGAGTTTATTAATACCTGTTTGGAATTTCTTTTCCTAAAACTTTATTGACGATTATTTAAATAAAGAAGGATAGTTTTTCACTTTCTTCATATAATTTATTCTATTAAATGAATAGACATCTTATTCTAGCTTAGACCATTGATGGTTGAATTGGAATGGATCATCAAGTTCTGTGATACAGGGATGGGGATAGTTATCATTAAGAGAGTGAGTGGCTCCTTTATGTTGTGAAAGACTTGCACTGGGTTTTTTGTCGTAAATAACTTATATTAGTCCATATAGATTGAGTTAGAGGACTCATTGGAGAACGTCGGAGTGAAATTGGTGAGGCAAGCTGGTGCAAAAACCAATGATATTGCTGGTGATGGTTGCACTACATCTGTCGTGCTAGCTCAGGGTTTGATTGCTGAGGGTGTAAAGGTACCTATTTCCTTCAATGTGATGAGGAAACCATGCTAATATAAAATCTTATGTCATTGCTTAGAACAGCATTTGATTACAATTTTTTTATTCAGTGGATGCTTTCAGTTACTTTTTCTATTCGATTTTACCTTCCTCTAGGTTATTGCAGCGGGCATGAATCCTATTCAGATCTCACGTGGGATTGAGAAAACTGCAAAAGCCCTTGTTTCTGAACTCAAATTGATGAGCAGAGAGGTAGAAAGGACCATTATCTTCTTTCATCTTCCTGGGAAAATAATTGGTTAAAAGCCTTACCAAGAATAAGATATCAAAAGGAAAGGCATATATACATACCAATTTTTGGTTCTAAGCATAAGTTGAGGATTATGTCTTACTTATTGGAGAGGATGTTCCAATTTCTCTGAGATTTCAGGTTCAGGATCATGAGCTTGCAGATGTTGCTGCCGTAAGTGCAGGAAATGACTATGAAGTAGGAAACATGATAGCTGATGCTCTTCAACAAGTAGGAAGGATGGGTATAGTCACAGTTGAAAAAGGGAACTGTTCTGAGAATACTCTACAGATTGTAGAAGGGATGCATTTTGATCGTGGATACTTATCTCCTTATTTTGTTACGGATCAACAAAAGAAGACAGTGGAGTTTCACAACTGCAAGGTAGGGGTATTATAGTTGTTTTAGCATTCAATGTTTTTGTTTTGAGTAATTAGGGGATGTGAATTTTTTGGTTGCAGTTGCTTTTGGTAAACAAAAAAATCACGAACCCAAAGGAGATGTTTAAAATATTGGACAATGCTGTTAAGGAGAAGTATCCAATTGTGATAGTTGCAGAGGGCATTGAGCAAGAAGCTCTGGCTCCAGTAATTAGGAACAAACTCAGGGGTGTGCTGAAAGCTGCGGCTATTAAAGCTCCTGCCTTTGGTGAGCGCAAGAGCCACTGCTTAGATGACATTGCTATCTTAACTGGAGGTAGTAAATTAAGTATTATAATGTAAAGTTCTTAGCTTCTTTCTTGTCGATATTTGTAGATCAATCTCGCCATGAAACCTTCCAAAAATGAGCTTGTGAACAGGTAAGATACTATGATTTATGTTAGTTGAGCATGAAAGGCCCTAGTCTCAGTTCTTGTTTATGTGACAGCTGTTAAATTCTGTTTTATTTCAAAACTTGGCATCACTAAATCTAGTAATCTTTTGTGCTAAGAAACTGTCATACTACGAAACCAAGTCATATGTAGAAAAATCCAAAAAGTAGATTCTGCATGGCCAAGGAAAGATGATCCCCCTTATTTGATGCCAAGCCTGTAATGTGTTTTCAGGGACTGTAATCAGAGATGACATGGGATTGACCCTTGAAAAGGCGAACAAGGAGGTTTTAGGGACTGCTACTAAGGTGGTGATAACTAAGGATTCTACATTAATAGTTACTGATGGTAGCAATCAAGCTGCTGTCCAGAAGAGGGTTTCTCAGATTCAGAGGCTTGTTGAGGTGAATCGCAAATCTTATATAGAGTTGTTTATGGAGAATTTTTGTTTCTCAAACAAAGGCTTGTTAGGGTGGATCGTATGTTTTGTGTAACAGTATCTATGGAGTTTGATTTTCCTTGGTTTCCAATTATGAATTGTCAATAATTACAGGGCTGTCACCTGAGTCTACTAATTTTTCATTTGGTAGGCCTTGGGAAGTAAATGTAGACATCCTTTCCATTACGGAAACAAATTACCCCTAGGTCTACACACCAATTTTTTTACACTCAAATATTTGGTCGAAAATTTTCCCATTTTTTCATCATCCAATCAAACTCAATCTCCTTTATTTATTAAGCACAACTAGGGCATAGACGCACATCACCTGATTTTGGACAACCCACGGCAAGATACGTCGTTTTTGCTGGTCCTGTGACCACCCATGCAATGAAAAAGACGGTGACAATTTTAACCAAATTAACAGAACAAAAATAGTTATGACCTAAACCCTAAACCCATTGAACTCCTGTCAATGGCTCAATCAATTATTTATTCGAAATGCTAAAAAAAACAGATTACTACGTATTTTTCTTAAGATATGCCCATATGCTTTTTCTTGATTCTATAGCCATTGCATTGCTTTTAGGACATTTTAGCATTTTATGAGAATACTGACACAACTATGCCTTATTTTGCAGAATACTGAAGAAAAATTTCAAAAGAAAATACTGAACGAAAGAATAGCAAGGTTGTCAGGGGGAATTGCCATTCTGCAGGTAATCTGAAATTTATTGGATTGGATATATTTGGTCATGTAGATTTTGAAGAATAATTTCTGTATGAATTAATGCGTTAATTTCTTTCAAATTGAATAAAAGGTAGGAGCACAAACACAAGTTGAATTAAAGGATAAACAACTAAGGACTGAAGATGCTTTGAATGCGACGAAGGTAGCATATTTCTCTTTGGATACGTCAATCGCTAAATAGTCGGTTAGTAGATGCAAGCTTATGCATTCTTATATTATAGGCTGCTATTGAGGAGGGAGTTGTAGTTGGTGGCGGTTGTTGTCTATTGAGGCTTGCTTTAAAGGTGGACAGTAGTAAACAACTTCTGGACAATGAAGAGCAAAAGGTAACTAACTCTCTTTCTCCTTTCTATTTTGTTTCTTTCTCTTTTATATTTTTGTTTAGCTCTCTCGTTTGATTGTTGCAAAATGTGATATAGTTAGGAATCCGAAAAAAATGAAAAAAGAAATCGGTGGTTAACAATTGTGCTAAGTTGTAATTTTCTTATGTTAGTGTATTACCCTTGTCTGCAGAAATAGTAGTGTAGTTTGTTATGATTGTGATTTTTTTTGTCTACAATTGGCAAAGCAGATTGGAGCTGACATCTTCAAAAGAGCTTTGGCCTATCCTGCTAGACGGATTGCCAAAAATGCTGGTGTTAATGGGAATGTTGTTATAGAGAAGGTCTCTACAGGTTTTGCATTATTTTTTACCCAACATAGTTTGAGATCCAAAAACTTTCAGTTGTTAATTGATAGTGCAAACTATTAAGGACTCCGAAAATCCAAAAAAATATGACCTTGTTAAAACCTGTCACCCATGCAGGTTCTTTCTATTGATGACATGAAGTATGGATACAATGCTGCAAAAGACCAATATGAGGATTTGATGGCTGCTGGAGTTCTGGATCCATCAAAGGTACCAAGAGACATGGCTTAGGCAGATGCACTTCATTCACAACCCTTGTGACATTATCTAGGTGTTGAATTCGTGCAGTTTCCCAAAATAATGACGCACCAACAGAATTCAGTATGATGTTGAAAGGTTTATAAGCCAGTATCTCACAGAAACACCAAATAAATCAGTATGAAAACCAATTTGAGTTGGTCAAAATAGTTGAGAGCCACGAAAAATGGAAATGTAAAAGGAAAAAAATAGAAGAGAGAAAGAAAAAGAAATATCAGCTAGATCAGGCCTGCATGGTAAGCTAAAGTTTACTTACCATTTCAGAATGCAGTGGCTCAAAAATGATACACTCAATGTTAGAGGAATGCTCTGAGAGACAGAACTGTCTCTGAGGACTATGTATTTTGCTAAAAGATGCTATGTACTTGACACCCAAAAGAACATATTAGACTTCTTTTAGCTATATGTTGTCTATAACTGTCGAAAAATTCATAATTTCAACTAACGTCTGGAAGCAGGTAGTTAGATGTTGTTTGGAGCACGCAGCATCCGTTGCCAAAACTTTCTTGACATCTAATGCAGTTGTTATTGACATCAAAGAACCTGCGCCGATTAAAATGAGGAGACCAATGCCAACCTCAGGTATGTATGGGAGCTTTTATATCTTTCTGATGTATCACTGTTGACTTGAAATAATTGTGAGTAAAAGGAGATACTCAAATTAAGAGTAAAATCCCGTATATATAGGCAAAATATAAAATCATAGTAAGGGTAAAAAAGGGAAAGAAATCCTAATAAACCTAGGAAAAGAAATCCTAATAAACCTAGACTATCTATACTCCAACACTCCCCCTCAAGCTAGGCGCAAAAATGTCAACTAAGCCAAGCTTGACAACGGAGTCCCGAAGAACAGACAGAGTGACAGGTTTGGTAAAAACATCCGCAACTTGATCACTGGTCCCCACAAACGATGGAGTAACAAGACCACTGCTGACCTTCTCCCGAAGAAAGTGAACATCGATCTCTATATGCTTCGTTCTCTCATGTAGTACAGAGTCAGAAGCGAGCTGAATAGCAGATTGATTATCACAATATAATGTGGATGGAGAGGTCACTGAAAAACCCAACTCGTCAAGAATCGATCATAGCCAGATAATCTCACATGTGCCAAGTGCCAATGCCCGATACTCTGCCTCTGCGGACGAGCGAGAGACTACTGCCTGCTTCTTGCTCTTCCAAGAGATAAGATGAGTCCCTCGAAAAGCACAGAAACCCGTAGTAGATCGACCATCACATGCTCCCCCATAATCTGAATCTGAATAACAGGCTAGAGAACCGGTCTGAGATCCTGATGCATAAAACAACCCAAGTCCAGGACAAGACTTGAGGTACCGAAGAATATGATAAACTTCATCAAGATGAGGCTGACATGGCCTATGCATCCCAGTGTCTGAAAGAAGATCCAAAACATACTTTCTCTGAGAAAGAACAATACATCTGCTTCTACGGGCAACCTCAATCCCAAGAAAGTATCGCAAAAATCCAAGATCCTTCACATCGAAGGCCTTCCCAAGGTCTATCTTGACCTGTGCAGTCCCAGAAACATCATCACCAGTAATAATAATATCATCAACATATACCAGAATGATGACACACTGTCCAGAAGTATTCCGTCGAATAAAGCAGGTATGATCAGAATGACACCTGGTGAACCCCAATCGTATGACTACATCACTGAAGCGAGAGAACCAGGCTCGTGGCGACTGTTTCAGTCTATAAAGAGACTTACGCAGTCGACATACCTTTCCAGCATACTCCCCCTCACCACGAAAGCCCGGTGGTGCATCCATATAAATAATCTCGTCCAGATCACCGTGAAGAAATGCATTCTTCACATCTAATTGATGAAGAGGCCAAGAGTACTCCGCAGCCAGAGAAATAATTAACTGAACAGTAGTCAATTTTGCCACGGGGGCAAATGTAGCACCAAAATCACGACTTGGTACCTGAGTAAAGCCCTTCGCCACAAGTCTACCCTTGTAACGATCAATAGTACCATCCGCAAGAAACTTCAGGGTGTAAACCCAGCGACAGCCAACAGGCCTCACCCCTGAAGGTAAGGAGACAAGATCCCATGTATGATTACGCTGAAGAGCGTCCATCTCTGTCTGCATGGCAAGAACCCACTGGGGCTCCCGCATGGCTTCCGAAATAGAGCGAGGAACCAGCGTATCTGATAAGGCCATAGTATAAGCTCGAAATGTGGGAGACAGATTACCATAAGAAACATAAGCAGAGATCGGATATAAAATCTTTGCGGTCCAACCATATCGATCAACTGGACGGCGATCATGTTGCGAGAAGGTGGCTTAAGCTCTGGATGGAGCTTCCAGCAAGTAGCTTCCACGGGTGAAACGCAATAGCAAAGTTTCACCATCAACAAAGGGAGATTACACAAAATTCTCTAATCTAGAGAATAAAACCAAACATGGATGCCCAAAATTGGGGGCCAAAAACTCTCCGTCCTGACTGAGAATAAATCTCTGATAATGCGCTCCATAGCTTCGGAACAGAGCTATGAAACTGGTGGATCTTGCAAACAGAGGGCTCCATTGAGCCAAATAACCATCCAAGAATGACACAGTTTTCAGAGAACCATGCAGAATATCCAGGGTCGGCATCAGCTGTCTTTGGGTGAGATCTTGTCAGCCAACTAAGCTTCCTTACACGTCCTAAGAAAAGCTGGAATGAGCGTGACCACTCAGCGAAGTTACGACCATTCAACAATTGTGCCGTAACTTTTTTGAGAGATCATGCCCGGTAATGCTGGTAATGCAACTAAACCTGTTGAGATCTCGTTCCAAGAACCTAGATTATATTAAAATCTAGACCCGTCTGAAGAACCCAAATTACAAGCAAGAACGCCACAAAGGATGTGATTTACCTTTGATAAATTCAAAAGTTCAATCAAGAACAAGAGGAGTAAACTCAACTCAATTCACAATCAAAATTCATTATAGATTGTCTCAACGGTAGAGGTGTCAACAGTAGGGTTCTCAAATCCCTCAGTAGTAGTCATATCAACAACAATACTGGGGCACCCGTGACAGAAAAATAACTCTAAGATAAATAGAGGAATAAAATAAGGGAGAACAATATACCTTCAGTCGAACAGTAGCGACATATAGGGAAGGTCCAAAAAGCTCCCAAATAACTCTAAGATAGAGGAATAAATAAGGGAGAACAATATACCTTCAGTCGAACAGTAGCGACAAATAGGGAAGGTCCAAAAAGCTCCCAAATAATCAAGTCACGGTGCCCAGAAATCCAAAATATATAAATAAGTGATCTACTGCATCAAGGGCAGATCAACAGAAAAGTACAAGACTAAGGCCTAAAATTGAACGAAAGAGATTGGGCAAAAACGAGGGCCAAGACGAAGCGACGACTTGATCAAGGCGGACAGCGACGACGCCGTCACTTTAACCTCTCCTATTCAACTTTCAGGCAGTTGATGGCCAGGGTGGTTTCGGCGGTATGGCTGGTAGAGCCATACACTAACCCTACCCCAAACCCTAACCTTGCTCTGATACCAACTTGAAATAATTGTGAGTAAAAGGAGATACTCAAATTAAGAGTAAAATCCCGTATATATAGGCAAAATATAAAAATCATAGTAAGGGTAAAAAAGGGAAAAGAAATCCTAAAGGGAAAAGAAATCCTAATAAACCTAGGAAAAGAAATCCTAATAAACCTAGACTATCTATACTCCAACATGTTGAAAATATTGCAGTTTAGTTTATTAGGGTTTATTATAGTTTTCCCTATTTACTTTTTACCCTTATTGTAATTTTCATTGGTTATATATACGGGAGATCTACACCTAGGTTATATCCCTTTTGACTCACATATATTTCTCTAGTTGGTATCAGAGCAAAAACCCTAACCCTAACCCAACCCTAACCATAACCCTAGCCTTCTATACCTCGTTGCAACCTACCGCCACCACAAACCAGCCACACCACCACCACTGCGCAACTACAGCAATCACAGCCCAGCCCCCATCACAGCTTCACCGACAACTCAGCAAACCAAAACCAATCATCGCAACCAGCGCAAGTCCCTAGCCAAAACAACCACCGAAAGCCACCGACTGCCCTTACCGACCAGTCCAAACAACCACCGTAGGATTGCAAAAGCAAAACAACCAACAACAACCTCACCGACAGCCTACCGAAACGAGCATCCCACCGAAATCGAAACCGAAACCGAAATCGAAACCGAAACAGCAAGCAACAGCCCACAGAAACCGAAACTTCTCCGACTGCCTAGCAACCAGCGCCTTGACTCCAACTGCCCAAAAACAAAACCACAAACCAGTCCACTACCTTGACCAGTCTGCCCAAAATCAAACCAGTCCACTATCTTCACCGACAGACCAGTCTGTCAAAGCAATCCAAGAGAACAAATAAACTTAGACCAGGAAAAAAAAAAAAATCAATCCAGTCCAGTCCCAAACCCAGTCCAGTCCCAAACTCAGTCCAATCCAGTGCAGTCCCAAACCAGTCCAATCCCAAACCCAACACAGTACCCACTCCATTGGACCAGCCCACTATTGAATCGCGTTCTTCGTCACAACTTCGAGTTATGCCTTCGTGAGTCTGATTATTTGGGACCGTATGATCTTTTAAGAGGAGTTGATTTCTCTTTTTCTTTTAAGAGGAGTTGATTTCTCTTTTTCGATGATCTGCTTTTGATGCAGTAGATCAATTATTTATATTTATTGAATTTCTGGGCACCATGATCTGATTACTTGGGAGCTTTTTGGACCTTTTTTATCTGTCGTTATTATTCGACTGGAGGTATATTATTCTCCCTTATGTTGTTCCTCTATTTATCTTAAGAACTTTTTCTTATCACGGATGCCCACATATTGTTATTGTTATGGCTATTATTGAGGGATTTGAGACCTCTACTCTTGAGACCTCTATTGTTAGTACTTCCACCTGAAATGTACCTTCTGGTTCTTGTCGGTGTGATTATTGTGGCCGACCAAGCCATCTATGGGCTACTTGCTGGAAGCTCTATCCGAAGCTTAAGCTGCCTCATCGCAGCCATATTGCTGCTGTTCTCGAGGTACCATCACCTACTGTCGTTGTTCCTGCTGCTACTTTTCCTCCTTAACAGAGTGATATGGATGCTATCATTTTTCGATTGGATATATTTATTGTGACACCCCAAATTCATGGGGTCCGTTAATTTCCCATCAACTCATGGAATGCCCGTGGATACCGTATAACTCGATATCGCACCGTTGTGTCCCATTTACCAGGATCCATAATTTAACGAAATTCGGGCAGAGTCTCCTTTGTACGGGAAGCTCTACCCCAAAACACAATCTGTGCAATCAACATTTACATGACCCATCCGAGGTCCAATATAATACCATAACCACACAGGGTCCATTTTATACATAAAACTTGACCACACCGGGTCCAATCATCATATTTATATCAAAATATGCAAGGTTATATTAAAACAGTCCATATATACTCTATTACAATTCCTTTACACATTACATGCCAAAATTTAATTACAAATCTACTTTTACAAAAAAAAATGGATTGGAAGCCACAAGTCGACTTTTCTTCAACCATGTGACCCGGATTGTGAGCCGTCCATTGGTGCATGACCCACACCTGAAATGTTTCCCGTATAGGGTGAGCCAATGCCCAGTAGAATAATCCCTACAGAGGCTACTCATCACCTAAAATGCATATGCAATGTATAAATGCAACATTTCACAACAAGTATTCCCTCCAACAATAACATATAATACAATGTTGGAAAATCATGATGCCATGCCAAGTAATGAGATGAAACTCACCCATGCATGCTATCCCGAGCCCACACCGACTCCCACAACACAATGCGACACTTACGTGTAAAACAAACGTCTTTGATGAAACACATCCAAAGATCATTTTGAAATCAACCATATGTCATAAAACTAATTCATTCTTGGATGTTTCCCATCAAATGAATAATTTATATATCAAAATCATGTGCCTTTATGGGGTATCGGATTCAGGAATCGCACCTCCGGCTCCGTACGCCGTTACACTTTTCTGGAATTTCACCGCCGGTAAGTGTATGAACCAAGTGGTCGGGTTTTTCACCCGAGGGAGTGTCTAGCCCTACTTGCTATACCCGACACAAGTTTTCTTATGCATGTCACCGTGCGACTCCGTAGGACATTCCATCCCACTTTCCCGAGCCTACCATCAAGAACCAATGTTGGTGTTGATCACCCCATGCAACCCTACACCCACACTCATGCATGTAGCCCATGAATGTGATGTTAATTCCATGTCCATATTGCAATGCATGCCAAATGACAATTTTTAAATATCATTGTATACCATGACAATTAATATCATTTGCATATAATCACATAACCATTTCAAGTTCAATATATCCAAGAGCATATATCAACACTCCATCAACATGATAACACATAATACATGCTAATATTACATTTCATTCACAAGGCATAATATAAAACACAAAGCATGCCCACATGATCCCAATTTTCAAGGGATTACATAAATACTTCCATATACCAAAATCAAGCCAAGATTTTATATGGATCATTCAAACAAAATAAAAATCAGAATATATGATTTTTATATAACCAATTATCTAAACATTCAAGAAATCACAAACTAGCACTTTCTAACTACCAATTCACACTAAAATTGATCCTACCCATTTCCATAGCACCAATCATAATGGAAAAATCTTAGAAATACCCAAAACAGCCCACATGAACCCTATGGACACCTTAGGTTAGAAATAGGTCCGAGTAGGAGGAACCCTACCTCTTGAAGCGTAAAGAATTTGTAGGAAGCCTCAAGAACAAGATTGAAGTCCAAAGCTTAGATTTCTCCAAAATCCTCCCTTTGAATCTTCGGTGAAAATCTTTGTTTTTGGTACCCACGCGTAGCTCTCGTCGCGTAGATCGACTTTAATTCTTGGCCCGACGAATTCCGACCGACGGAACTCCGAGAATCGGCGAAAGAAAGCTTGAAGAATTTTATTTTTTCTCCTTAGCTCTTTGGTTTGATCCAGCCGGCAGCAAATGAAGAAAATGAAGAGCAAATATCTGATTTGCTCACTTTTATACCTTCTAAACACTTGGCCCTCGTCGCGCCAAGTGTCATCCTTTGTCCGGGTCCGTTTTCATCCCGAAACGATTAAATTTCGTACCGATTTAAACTCAAAATATTTTATATGAACTTTATTTAAAATATTTTTTAAATTTTCAAATTTTTATAAAAATTTCGTTTTTAGGGGTCATCGAACACCCGTCACCTCGAAAAACGTGAAAAATCTGACTATCTCAGAATTCGACGAAATTTGTCTGGGTAACTAGATTTCGTGAGACGAATCCAACGGTGAGGTCCGTTTCATCATCCGAGGTCTATAAAAATACCAGTTTTTTTTTAACTCACACTATAATGGCAAATTACCATTTTCCGTTTTTTTTTTTCAGAAAAAGTTAAAATTTTTCCCGGGTTTCACATTCTTCCTCCCTTAAAAGAATTTCGTCCCCGAAATTCACATACACATGCACATACAATCACATGCATATGCAAAAGTCAATTAATGGTAAATGACCAGAAGAATATACCTCCATCCTCGAACAAGAAAGGATAACTAATACGGACAGTGTCCTCGCGCTCCCATGTTGCCTCCTCTACTCCTCGATGCTGCCACAGCACCTTCACTAGCCGCACGGTTTTGCCTCGCAAAACCTGTTCCCGGCTATCCATGATGCGCACCGGTCCCTCCTCGAAAGTCCCATCAGCATCAACAACAAGCTCTCCCCAATCCACCACATGAGTCGGATGTGGGGTGTACTTCCGAAGCATAGAGACATGGAATACTGCATGAACACTCGATAGATTTGGCGGTAATGCCAACCGGTAAGCAACTGTACCCACTCTCTCAAGTACCTCGAAGGGCCCGATGTATCTCGGTGACAGCTTCCCCCGCTTACCAAACCGGACCACTCCTCTCTTAGGCATAACCTTCAAGAAGACATGATCTCCCACCTCAAACTCTAGAGGTCGCCGCCGTCTATCAGCATAACTCTTTTGCCGGCTTTGAGCCGTGAGAAGACGCTTCCGAATCAAGTCCACCTTCTCCGAGGTGTCTCTGATCAATTCCGGACCCGTAGAAGACCTCTCTCCTACCTCCGTCCAACAAACCGGAGAACGACATGGCCTCCCATATAGTGCCTCATAGGGTGCCATCTCTATGCTCGCCTGGTAACTGTTATTGTATGCAAACTCCACCAAGGATAAGTGATCTTCCCAGCTACCCTTAAGATCTAGGACGCATGCCCGTAGCATGTCCTCTAAAGTCTGGATAGTCCTCTCAGACTGACCGTCTGTCTGGGGATGAAAAGCAGTGCTCATCATTAATTGTGTCCCCATGGCTCGCTGGAAACTCTCCCAAAAATGAGCCGTAAACCTGGGATCCCGGTCCGATACAATAGATACAGGTACTCCATGCAGCCGGACAATCTCCCGTATATACAACCTGCAGAATTCCTCCAATGTGAAGGTCATCCGCACAGCCAAAAAGTGTGCCGACTTAGTAAGCCGGTCCACTATCACCCACACCGCGTCATGACCCCGCGATGTCCGTGGCAAATGGGTCACAAAATCCATCGTGATATGCTCCCACTTCCACTCAGCTACCTCCAAAGGCTGGAGTAATCCCGCTGGTCTCTGGTGTTCAGCCTTAACCTGCTGACACGTGAGACATCGACTGACAAAATCGCCAACCTGCCTCTTCATTCCACTCCAGTAATACTGGCGACGAAGATCATGATACATCTTTGTGCCCCCTGGATGAACTGCAAAACGGGAGCAATGAAACTCCCTAAGGATCTCCTCCCTCAGATCTGCCAATTGAGGAACCACAACCCTTCCTCGATATCGAAGACTACCATCTGAGTGAGTAGCCCAGCCCTCGTCACCCATACCTGCCTGTACACGGTCCCGGATGAACAATAGCTCCGTGTCCTGACTCTGGGACTCAATCACCCTGCTCAGTAGAGACGGTATAGTCACCAAACTCCCCAAAGTACCCTGAGCCTGACCCATATAACATAGCCCGAACTGTCCCACAGTCTCGAGCATCTGCCACTCCCGGGAAGCTACACTAGCTAAAACTCTCTGTGACCTTCGGCTAAGTGCATCAGCCACCACGTTTGCCTTACCAGGATGGTAATGCAAAGTGAAGTCATAGTCCTCTAAATACTCCATCCACCGGCGTTGCCTCATGTTAAGGTCCCGCTGTGTAAAAATATACTTCAAACTCTTGTGGTCCGAAAATACTTCAAACTGCTCACCATACAGGTAGTGACGCCA